GACAATAAAAATGACATTCTAGCATAGACTATAATAAAAACATTATTTTCTGGTTTTAATATTATCAAGTATCCCATGGTATTTTACTACAACAGCAGATAGTATGATGTGGATACTTATCACCCACAAGATCTTTTCCTCGTGGGTCATGCCCAACTAACCTCTTTATGTGTGAGTTATTCGGGTTTGCTCCTGAGCATATGCTATTCTAATCTTGACTGACCATTTTTATAAGAGTTCCTTTCAAATGTTTTATTTCAATTTTTCTTCCCCTAAGCTAAAAATAGTGCTAACCAATGCACAATAGCATTTGGTTTACACACAGAATTCTTTCCTAAAAGTCACCAAAGAAGACACTGGATACAGCAGACCCCTCCACCCCACTCCATCCGTAGGACTTCTGAGAGCTGATGAGCTTCATTCTTCGGAGGTGATGCTGAATCTTTTATAACTACCTATTTGGCAATAATTTTTTATAAATGTTTTCATGTTATTTTAAGTTGAGATATAATTTGTATACCATAGAATTCACCCTGAAGTATATAATTCAGTTTTTTAGTATATTCACAAGATTATGCAACCATCATAACCACCTAATTCCAGAACTTTTTCATCACCCCAAAAGAAACCCCTTACCTATAGTCACTCCCAATTCCCCCTCTCCCCAGTCCCTGGGAACCATTAATCTACTTTGTCCATATGGATTTGCCTATTCTGAACATTTCATATAAATGGGATCATATAGTATACGGTCTGGATTCTTTTCACTCAGCATGTTTTCAAAGTTAACCCATGTTGTAGCATGTATCAGTACCTCAGACCTTTTTATGGCTGAGTAGTATTCCATTGTATGGAGTATCTATCTCATTTGGCTCACCCATTTATCAGTTGATAGACATCTGCGCTGTTCCCACTTCTTGTTTACTATGAATAACGCTGCTATGAGCATTTGTGTGTACAAGTTTTTGTGTGAACATGTGTTTTCAATTTTCTTGGATATATACCTAGAAGCTAGAATTGCTGGGTCGTAGGATAACTCTATATTTAACTTTTTTGAGGAACTCACCTTGTACCTTAATGTGTAGCTATCCAGCCATATGGCCATAAGTGGTTCATCCAATGAAAATGTTATTTTTACCAATATCAGAAGGCTTTCTATAAACAACCAGAAGTAATATCCATTACTTTACCAATTGCTGTGTGTCTTGTCACTCTAATATTAAAAGAAACTAGACTTATCTGACATAGTGGTTTCTTGACAGTTTATGCTTTTCTGGCTGCCTTCTAACTCAGCAGAGATGTATCTGAGAATTGTCATGGTGTAGAGGGTGTGTTAATGGGGACATTGACAATGAAAGACAGTTGGTTACAGACAGGGTCCTTTGGGCAGCTTTCGGTTCAACTGTCATGTTCCAGGCACCAGTTGATCGGGTCCAAAATCTAGATGTTTAGTAGGCTGAGAGACTGTAAGGCACTAGATCAGAGGTTGACAAACTATAGCCCATCAGCCAAATCCAGCCATCCCACCCAGTCTTTTACAGCCTGCAAGATAAGAATGATTTTTACAATTTCAAATGGTTACATTATAAATAGACATGTAAGTTCCTATATAACATCTTTAATTTGCCTCTTGGCACACAAGCCTAAAATATTTACTATCGGGTTCTTTAAGAAAAAGTTTTCTGACCCCTGCTCTAGATAATACTCATGTAAATTAAAATCTTTTAAGACCAATAAATAAAGCAGGATATCCTTTACCAGTGACCAGAGAACACCAAACTCTGGATGTCCAGTTATCTACAAAGTGACTCAGAATACTAGTAAATACACAGAATCAAAACAGGAAAAGTAATGTGTGTGCAATGGACAGGAATGGTGAGTATGTTATCGAAATTCTGGGAAATTCCAATAAAATATGCATTCCTCCCCAAAAGAGAGCGCCTCACTAGCAACTTGATGGTTTGTTTCCCCCTGCCTAGTTTGTGTCATTTGGGGAGTGCTGCATTTGACACATTAACACATTTCACTTTACTGAGTCCATCACCCCCATGCTTATCCCTTCCCTCCGTATTCTTTTTTTTTTTTAAAAAGATGACCGGTAAGGGGATCTTAACCCTTGACTTGGTGTTGTCAGCACCACGCTCAGCCAGTGAGCGAACCGGTCATCCCTATATGGGATCCAAACCCGGGGCCTTGGTGTTATCAGCACCGCACTCTCCCGAGTGAGCCACAGGCCGGCCCACCTTCCCTCTGTATTCTGACCAAAAGCTCTTTTCCCTTATCAAGTGTCAATAGCAAATCCTATTCACTTGGGCCCTCCGTATTCTGACCAAAAGCTCTTTTCCCTTATCAAGTGTCAATAGCAAATCCTATTCACTTGGGCTTGTAAAACTGCTGTCGTCTCCTCCTACTATGGGCTGAATAAGTTTCACAACACTTAAAGTTCTAGGTATGCATCATTATCACTGCTTGCAAGATGTCAATATTAAACCTACCAACTGGTAATTAACCTTTTTTTAAATCCCTTTTAAGGGGGCAGGGAGGGGAGAGACACTTGTTCTTTGCCAACCTAAATGTTTTCTCTAGTACAAGCAGCTTCTCAAAAATAATGGTAGTGGACTGCTACGACCCACACCAATCCTTCAATTTCATCCCAAGATACATCATGTCCAACTGATCTTAATACCTTCTATTTTTCTAAAGAGTCAGAATTATCTGCTTCTGTCTGACCTTCAGATCTTTCAATGAGAAGTTAATCTGTTTGCATTCAATCTCTCCTATAAAGATAAAATGGAGATACAAAAAGCTTCTGCTTTTCCTCAGACTTCTCTTAACTTTTGCTTCCTTTCTGTTACATGTAAGGATTCTTTGGAGCCTCCTCTTTTATCTAATGCAGAGTGGGAATGTGGGGAGACAGAAGGCTTTTAGGTCCTTCCTACTATTTGTACCTCCTCCTTTCCAGTTTTAATCTTTCTATTGCTGTTCTTACTCAATTTTGCTATTTCAGTATCCATAATGGTCTTGCCAAATTACTCCTTTTTAAAACTTTCCAATCAGCTCTCCAGCTCCCAGTAGAGCTCTGGCCTCAGCAAAAATAGCCACTTCTCCCTTCCTGTTCTTCCCATATGCCTGTTTTGGTTAATTCCTGAGCCTCTTTTTAAACAAAAGCCATCTTCTGGGGTTTGAGCAGACAACTCCATCATCGTGATAATGTGTTAGTCCACATTCCTTTCCTAGCTCCCCACACTGTAGAAAATACATTCAAACAGGATGGGTGGTAAAGTTATGGACAGTACAGATTAAAAACTAATCTTCACATTCTTCTAAAATATAATTACATCTTCTGGAAGACAGTTCAACCAAGGTTTGGGAGTTTAAAATACACATACGCACAGTGGGAATTTTCATTCCAATAACAAATCACCAATAACCAACCAAAACTACATCTAGTCTCTAGTTGGAATACCTGTGATTCTCAAACCATCTTTTCCTGACACCTCCATATAGTTCAGAATTCTCTTCCTATTCAGTATACTCATGAACTTTCAAAAACTGTCTTCCCATCAAATTCTAATTTTGAAGAGCTTCTGAAAAAGATTCTACATAAACCCCCAAGGAAATAAGATGTACCTATTTTTGGTTTATTTTTAAAGTTAGAATTAGAAAAATATTACACACTCATGAAAAAATATGCTATTAACTACTTAAAGCATCTTCAAATGATGGGGAATTGATCTTGCCTAAAGGTGAGGAGATGATCTAAATGATTTCCACATTCTTCCTGAAGGTCCCCAGGGCTTGCTTCCCTCCTCACCCCAACAAATCACAGCAAACTATTGCTCTGGGGTGCAGCCCAGATTGGCCACCAATCACCAAGCACAACTTTCTCAAAAGGTGAAAAGCGAATATACAAACCAGCAAATAGATAATTCTTTTAGATAAATGACCAATACTGAGGGAAAAATCCAGTACAGAAACTGGAAGGTGGGGGGCAGAGAATCAAATCCACAACAGATACAGACTTCCCAAGTGTCCAATAGTAGTAAAAACTCTATCTTGGCTATTTATACTATTTTTGGTGGTGAAAGAGTACTTTTCCACCTCACGACTGACATTCGCATTCATTACTTATGGCACAGGCCATCAGTCCACGTGCGACAGAGCAGGAAGCCGCTGGAACACGAGTGTGCATCTTGCTCTGGCCTTTGAATGGTCTGTGACTTACTCTTGAACATTTGCTCCAGGTGCTGCCAGCAGACACTCTGCAATACCTAAACTTCACATTCCCCACCCCCTGAGCCACGGCTTGTCTCTGAGCTTCCCACATAGTGAGATATTAACCAAGCTGGCCATTGATACGACAGTTCTTTACAAACCCAGAGTAAAATCTGCCACACCATCTGCTTGATATACTTGGACCTTATGGTATGGAAATATCCACTGCAGGTGAACCTCAGAGAGTGATACAGGACGTTTCAGACACTTCAGAAGGAATGAACCCTGGCTAGCTTACTAAAGAAAATATTTCATCAATGTAAACATGCCAGATATAAACTGTACCTGAAATTAGAACAAATATGTCTCAGAAATGGAGCTATCTTGCAGAAACAGAATTACGGGCACATCACTTTGGTTTCATTTCCAAAATCCAGGAAAACTGCCTTTCCTCAGAATAAGGAAACCATGCTAAATACCTGCTCTCTGGTTTTTTTAGGAACCAATGTGAGTTTTTTTAAAATCACTCAAATTTTATCTACTGTGACACACTAAAGCCATCTAAACTGAGCAAAGTATTTTTAAACTATGACTCTATGAATGCAGGAAAATGGTTGACTGGACTATACTCACACTGAAAAGGTTTTTTAGGAACCAATGTGAGTTTTTTTAAAATCACTCAAATTTTATCTACTGTGACACACTAAAGCCATCTAAACTGAGCAAAGTATTTCTAAACTATGACTCTATGAATGCAGGAAAATGGTTGACTGGACTATACTCACACTGAAAAGGTGCTGCGACTTGATCCTTCCCATATCTCAAAGGGAATGAGCCTTCAGTGGACTGCTCTCCCGAAATCACCTTCTGGGCTGGAAAGTACTTGGGCTTGAGCACATATTCCTGGGTCTGGCCATGATGAATCATCACATTCTGTGAGGAAAGGGGTGTCACTCTGGGAAGAAACAAAGTGAGGATAAGGAAATAAATAATGGATTTTTAAAAACCAACTAAGAAGGAAAGAATAAGAAATTTGTTAAACTTAGAGAGCAGCATAAATCCCATGCAAGGATCACTTTTTCCTTCAAGTACAGAAACTGACCATTTGTGACATATAAGGAAGGAACTAACAGCTTACCCTTGGAAACCTCCAACATAAAAGGAACTCTGCCTATCATGTCAAGAAGCCTAATGATAAACAGTTTATTGAGGTGGATTTTATCAGAGGATTCAGAACCAGACTACCATAAGCATTTACGCAAAACATACAGCTTTATATTTAAGAAAGAGAGAAAGACACATACACAAAGAGGTTCGTATGTAAGTGACAGCACTGGAAATGGAAAGGAAAGGTATGGGGGAAAAAGAGTACAGGAAGGGGATTGTGCAAGAAATTCCCAGCTTGACGAGTTAAGCAAAAATCAAGTATAGACAATTAGAACCTGTATGGTATAATGTGACCCTCCAACTCTGCCTAATGCTAGATTTGTCAGTCAACCTCTTTGAGCCTGTTTCCTCATCTGCAGCATAGAATCTCTGCCACAAAGGGCTGAGCAAAAAAGAAAAAAATGCATATTAAAATCTGAACACACAAAACCTAGGGGGAAAAAAAGAAAAAACAGAACAACTTTAATTCCCTTTTGAAATATGAATTATGATGATGCCTTAGGGAAACCCTTATTTAATTTTTTAATGCTACATCTCATAATGGTCTCATCTTTTCAATAACACAAGTCAAGACTTCTGGGAACTTCTGAATATAATTACTATATCTTCAACCTCCTGGCCCAACCCTTTGTTTTCCGTGACAGTTCTCTCGTTCTGCATGTAATGTATACTTTAAAATTATAAGTCTTTGCCTAGATTCAGTCATTCTCTGAGGGACAGAAACAAAATCATTAGCTAAATAAGACTAATAAGTAATGAAAAATATAAAGAATATATGCCAACTAATTCCAGAATATGTATAATTGCTACTGAACGTGTTAGAACAGTGCATTCTGGCAGTGAACTNGGCTGTGGGGTGTGCCTTGTAGCTGAGGTCTACCCTCCCCTCCTCTCTGAAGCGAGGAGGGTGGGGAGCAAGAAATGAGCTGGAAGCATATGGATGCACAGGCTCCTTTTCCCTAAACATAAGAGAAAGGTAATAAGACCAAGCTATACCAGGTCTAGAGGCTTTCTGACAATCCTCAGTCATCACTAACTTAAGGAAATCAGTACTTAAATCTCACTACTATCGAAGTATTCCCCAAATTATAAACACACAGCCAATATGGAGCTCCACAAAGCTGTCCCCCATTCCTCTACCTTCTCTCCCTTTTCCCCAATGAAAGGTGGAAGTGCACAGGCTCAGTCAGCAGACTGACATCACGCTGCTCCCAGCCCCACGGAGAAAGAAGCAGTCATTGGCAGTCCACCACCGAGGCCAGGAGAGGAGACCATTGCATTACTCACCCCATGAAAACTAAGTGTAATCACAGTGCTACTTTCTCCCTCCATGGTGGGTATCTACCCTTTCCTCTAATTTCATCATTCACAGTTATTTCCACTTTGGGCCATCTCCCAGGCTTACAAATATACATCCTCTTTAACTCTTCTTCCTTTCCTTTTCTTTTACCTATTTCAGGAAAAATATCTCTCCCTTCATTTAAATTGGGATTTTCTCTAAGGCTCTACCAAAAAGCTCTTAGCGCTGATAAACAATTTCAGTAAAGTTGTAGGATATAAAATCAACATGCAAAAATCAATAACAAACTAGCAGAAAATGAAATCAAGAAAGCAAGCTCATTTAAAATA